ATTTCTTCATATGTTTGTTGGCTTCCTGAATATCCTCTTTGGTGAAGTGTCTATTCGTGTCTTCTGACCATTTTTAGTTAGATCATTTGTCTTTTTGTTTTTGAGGTGTTGGAATTTTCTGTAAATTCTAGAGATAAGTCCCTTTTCAGATATGTCATTGCCGACTATTTTTTCTCAATCTCTTGGTTCTCTTTTGACTCTTTTTGAGAAGTCTTTGGAAGCACATAAAAAATTTAATTTTTAGAAGGTACCATTCATCTATCTAATTTCTCTTCTGCTGTTTGTTTATTTTAGGTTATGCTTCATAGTCTGTTTATGCCATATAGTAAGGCCCCTAAATTTGCTCTAGATTTTCCTTGAGGAACTTTATAGTTTTAGGTTTCACATTTAAGTCTTTGATCCATCTGGAGATAGTTTTTGAAGATACAGAACTTTTTATAATCCTCTTGTGTTATCTGTAAATCCCCATTTCTGCATTTTTTTCTTCATGTCCTTAAGCATCCCGTGTATTTAGTCAGAAGAGAAGGAATTTCACAGAATCCTCTACGAAGAGCATGTTGGTTTAAATTATTGGAAATTATTTACGTCATTGACAAGCTATGAGAGGTCAATTCATTTCCCTTTTGCAGAAGCTTTTCCAATGCTGATTGTAAATTATTTCTAGTAAGCTGTATGTTTATCTCACCTGTACCTATAGACACAATCTGAGATCCTTTCTTTCCCTCTTCTCTTACATTTAAATTTGAAGACTCTTTCAGATGTTCTGTATTTTCTTTTTTCCTTTGCTCTCCATCACTGGCCTTATATATCTCCTGGAACATTCAAACTCTAATTTATTATGAATAAACTGAATGGAAGTTGTCAATGAAGAGAGCAATCAAACACTAGATAGCACTTATGTGAAAATACCACATAGGTAGCTTGGAGAGGTGGCAGGGGATACAGTTATATAGGTGGTTGTGTCTCCACTGTGAGAATTATACATGACAAAAGGGTTTGCCTAAGCATGTCTTCATGAGAAATACAGTTCATTTACTGAAATCACAGGATTTTTTTTCTTTTCTCCTTAATTTTGATCCTGAGTATATTTAGTATATGCATCCAGTAATATGGGAGCTCTGGTGGCATAGTGTCTGAGGCATTTGACTGTGAACCAGAAGGTTGGCGTTTCAAGCCCACCAACTACTCCTCAGAAGGAAGCTTGGCTGATCTACTTCTGTAGAGATACTGCCTCAGAAACCCAGGGACAGGTCACTATGAGTCGAATCAACTTGACGGCAGTGAGTTTGTGGGTTTTTTTTTTTTTTTTGGAATATGACACATGTGGCATAAAACATTAAAAAATAATTAAGTCACATTTTAAATATACACTAGCCCTCAAACTCTCCAAAAATAAGGAGAAGCCTATTTCCATATTTCAAAGGAGAGAACACACAGGGAGAGAATGAGTTTCATAGTCTTATATTGTTACTACATTTTTTGTTTCCTTTCTCCAAGTTGGTAGGTGTCTACCCTCTAGTTAGTAGTTTACTCTCCCTTCCCTACCTACCCCTGATAACCATCAAAAAAAAATTTTTTTTTTTTCTGTGAAACCATTTTCTTTACTTTTTACAACAGGGGTCTCATACAATATTTGTCCTCCTGTGATTGACTTATTTCACTCAGCATAATGGCCTCTAAGTTCATCCAAGTTATGAGGTATTTTGGAGATTCATCATTGTTCTTTAATGTTGCATAGTATTCCGTTGTGTATAGGTATCATAGTTTGTTGATCCATTCTTCCATTGATGGACATTTAGGTTGTTTCTATCTTTTTGCTTTTCCAAATAGTGCTACAACGAACATGGGTGTGCACATATCTGTTCATGTCATGGCTCTTATTTCTCTAGGATATATTCCTATTAGTGGAATTCCTGGATCATATGGTATTTCTATTTCCAGATTTTTAAGGAAGTGCCATACCATTTTCCACAGTGGTTGCAATATTTTACAGTTCTACCAGCAGCGTATGAGGGTTCTAGTCTGTCCACACCCTCACCAACATTTATGGTTTTCTGTTTCTTTGAACTTTATTATTAGTGCTGGGGTGAGATAATATCCCATGATTGTTTTGATTTGCATTTATCTAATGGCTAATAATCATGAACATTTCTTCATGTATTTGTTAGCTGCCTGAATGTCGTCTTTGGTGAAGTATCTGTTCATGTCCTCTGCTCATTTTTTAATTGCATTATTTGACTTGTTAAGGTTTTGAAGTCTTCCATAAATTTTAGAGATCAGCCCCCTGTCTGATATGTTGTGGCCAAAATTTCTTTTCCCAGTTTTTGGGTTCTCTTTTTACTCTTGGTTAAATCTTTTGATGTGCATAAGTGTCTCATTTTCAGGAAGTCTTAGTTACCTAGTTTATCTTCGGATGTTTGTGCATTTTTTATTATATTCAGTAGTGTATTTGTGCCCTGAACTGGGGTACCTAAATTTGTCACTGTTTTTTCTCTGGTGGATCAAGTCTTTGATCCATCTTGAGTTAGTCTTTGTATATGGTGTGAGATATGAGTCCTGTTTCATTTTTCTGCAAATGGATATCCAGTTTTGCCAGCACCATTTATTAAAGTGACTATCTCTTCCCCCATTTAATGAGTTGTGGTCCTTTTCAAAGATCGGTTGTCCATAGGTGGATGGATTTACTTCTCAATTCTGTTCCATTGGTCTATGTGTCTGTCATTGTACCAGTACCAAGCTGTTTTCATTACCATGGCTGTAGAGTATGTTTTAAGATTGGGAAATATGAAGCCTCATACTTTGTCCTTTTTCTTTAGTGTTGGTGGTGGTGGTGTTATGTGCTTTCGAATCGGACCTGACTCATAGCGACCCCTCCTTGGGTTTCCAAGGTAGTATCACTATGGAAGTAGATTGCCCCATCTTCCTTCTGAGGAGTGGCTGGTGGGTTTGAACTGCCAGCCTTCTGGTTAGCAGTCAAGTGCCTTAGGCACTATGCTACTAGAGCTCCCTTACTTATCCAGGTTCTTTAACCTTTCCTTACAAAGCTAGTTTTTCCATCTCTTTAAAGAAAATTGATGGAATCTGGATCAGGATTGCATTATATCTGTAGATTGCTTTGGGTAGTATTGATATTTTCACAATGTTAAGTCTTCCTATCCATGAGCAAGGTATAGTCTTCCAGTTATAGAGGTCTCTTTTGGTTTCTTGTAATAGTGTTTTGTAGTTTTCTTTGTATTGGTCTTTTGTGTCTCTGGCTAGATTTATTCCTACGTACTTAATCTTTTGTGTGGTAATTATAAATGGTATTGCTTTCCTGATTTCCTTTTCAGAGTTCTGTTCATTAGTGTAAAGAATGTCGTTACATTTTAAGAGGGCAATGAAAGGCAAGTGATTCAGAAGAAAAGAGAATTATGAGCATATTAATCCTACCACAGAAAGAAAAGTATTAAAATTCTTAACTCATTTGTATTGAATTTTGGAAAAGAATAGGTTATAAAATCCAAATGAGTTACAAAGTCCAAACTAAAAGCTTAAGAATATATAGAACTTAAATGTTTTCCCCATATACTTTCTTGGGGCTAGATGGAAAGAATTGCAGCAAAGTCAGGTGCCCAGTGACACTGGGGCCCTGTGACCAAGGTGGTCCCTCATTTCTGCACCATTTTCTGTGATGGAGAGTAGCAATTTTACTCTTTTAGAAGGGAGAAATTAGTTTGGAAGCCAAGAGAGTTAGGAACTATGTTATTGATCTGTCATAGCAAGAGGAAACTTGGTGAGTGGTTCTTTAGTGGCCCAGGTATTGCTAGTTGAGTTGTCACTGTTTTGTGCAGAACAGATATTCTCAGTGGGTGTGATTTATGGCACCACAGCAACATATAGGCCATATCCTGCATGGTGACTGGAGGTCTGTCACCCAAAATATGACAAACTGCTTCAAGTGATGAAAATGAAAGGTAGGTTTCATAGCAACCACTCAGTTACTTTAATCAAAACAGCTCCAGCAGCTGGTCAATAGCTCTGTTTCTTATTAAGCTTGTTACACAAAATATATGATAGAAAGAAAAAAATATGCTCTCTCATATTGTAATTGGTATAAACTGAGCTGGACTGAGTGTTGTTAAGCTAAGGTACAATTATTATGTTAAAGCTCTATCCTTGAAATTTCTAGATTAAAGCACTTTGGGACTATGTTGAGGTTACATGAGGAAGAAAAACATCACATTTCTTGTATATGAACAATACATAGGAACTTTCAATTTGATCAGCCATTTCTGACAATCAAAAAGCAAACACCAAACTCTGCCATTGGATTGATTCTAACTTATAGCAACCACCTATGGGTTTCTGAGGCAGTAAATGTTTACAGAAGTAGATTGCCCAGTCTTTCTTCTGCAGAGTGGCTGGTGGGTTTGAACCACCAACCTGCTGGTTAGCAGTCAAATGCCTTAGGCACTGTGCCACCCGAGCTCTTTATTTCTGAAAATAGGAGTACAAAAAATTTAATAAGCTTCCTAACCTCTTTTTTTTTTTTTTTTCACTAAATGGTACAGAATCTGTATTTGATGTAATACCTATTATATATAAGAATTTTAAAAGTTGATTTTGTAGAATCCTGAAACTATGACTTGGTTAGAAGTCAAAAGGTAGTAACCAATATGTGTAGAATTTGCTGCTGAGAATCAAAGTCATCCAGAGTTGAACGGGGAGGAAGAATCAAACCAGGAACATAGACAGTAAGGATGGATGATTCCGGAGTTGTTTATCTATAAGAAAGAGTGGAAACTGTCTTCTTATGTTGCCACGATTGCTAAATATGTCCTCGCATCCAAACTTTCTAACTTCTAGCACTTCGGATATTTCCCACTAGTTGGAATCAACTCGTGTTGTCAGCCAGCTCCCAGTTTGCTAGCTGGGTAATACTCCACTGGGGGACATAACAAATTGTGAAGTGCTAACCAAATGTGATCTTTTTTTTTTCTTTGTGTGTGTGTGTTTCATAGCTGAGATTGGGGATTTTGATGAAGCATTGGACAGAGAACACTTAGCAAAAAATAAGTACATACCTCAGCAAGATGCACTAGAAGACAAAATTGTGGAATTTCACCATAACCACATGTAAGTGTCAATTATTGTTTTACGTTCCTTTGAGCTGTTTCTCTGTGCCCTCCCAGCATATGGAGGTACATACACACACATGTTCATACATGCACTTATAGTAATAACACTCATGTGCCACATAACATCCGTTTGGGGAATGTACAGTTGCACGTGTCCTATAATGTTAAAATAGAGTTCAGAAATCCCAATAGGAAAATGGGATGTAGCCAACACAACAGATCCCTGCACACACCTGTATCTCATGTCTCTTCCGTACAAAGTGGTTGTGCTGCCACACGTATAATGGTATAGTACATATATAAAGTATAATACCTATTTCTTGAGAGTCATAACAATGTACTTTATTGTACTTTCTTTGTAAAAAGTTTACCGTATAACAGTGTCTGCTTCAACTCATAAGCAGCAGCATCCAGTTCATCTACCACGCATCTCCTAAGGGTTGTTATGTTATCTCTCTATTTAATTTTCTTTCCCAAATATTACCATAAAGTACATCATGGCTCCCAAACTGAGCAAAACCAGTGCTGGCGATAGCAGCAGCAAAATGCAAAGAAGTATCAATTTGGAAATGAAACAAAGGTTATTAAAGAATGCAAAGGTGGAAAATCAGCAAATGCTATTGCTTGTGATTTAGGCATGTTGCACTCAACAGTCACAATGATCCTTAAAAACAAAGAAAAACATTCTCCAAGTTGGTAAAGGATTGGCTCCACTGAAGGATACAAAGCTAATAGAAATGTGAGAGGGACCTGTATCAGCTATGGAGAAATTGATAATGATATGGACTGAGGACCAAACAGAAAAATGAATTCCTCCCATCATGTTGATGATCACTGCTAGAGGACAAAGCCTGTTTGAGATGCTAAAAGAAAAAGTAGAAGCAGACTAATGATGTGTATTCACACAACGTCCAAATCACATAATGTTCTATCAGAACATGTTGTAAATGTATTGCATTGGGCAGATCTGCTGCAAAAGACCTCTTTTTTTTTTTTTTTTTTCTTTTTTTATTAGGATTTGGGTGAAGATTTACAGAGTAAACTCACTTTTCATACAGCAGTTCACATATACTTTGTCTCATGTCATT